AGAAACATTTGCTTGTTTCCATTCAAATATGAGGATTTGCTGTTTTTTTTACCCGATTTATGTTGTTGTGGATGAAATATCTTTGAGTCTTGGATTGTTGGATCGACAAACTGGGAAACTGGGTTTTGGGAAATAATATTGGGCACTTTTCACTCTTTTGAGAAAAAAAATGATTAATCAGAAATGAAACCAATCATTGTATAGTTGCAGGCTTATTTCACTCATTCATCATCTATTGTATCTGTCAGTATATTTCTTCTTCAACTACAGAATGGTTACGTTCATGTATCTATCTAGTAGATAAACACAGGAGAGCTGCAGTGATAACACACTGCTTTTATCCTGGTATCTGTTGTTTTTATTTATAAATGAATTAACTGAATGAATTCATTTATATCCAACCATCATTTTCCCTAAGTTAATTAACTGACATCTCTTAGCTTAAGACCATCTGTCTTCATGAGAGGAGCCTCTCATGGGTTTTGGCCTGTGCCTGCTTTACATCCTTCTCTATAGCACATTTTAATGATTTTACCCTGTTGATGTCTGAATGCATCATGTGTATTTAAATTCATACTAGAGCAGCTAAAGTAGCCACCCATGCAGAAAGTTTTTAGTTTCATTGCACAGGTGCTGTAGTCAATGATTTGTCTGTTTCTATCATTTAATACCTTGCTCCATCGTAGGCCATTATTAAAAGATGAAGGGAGACACTCCTGTCACTACTGCTACTATCTTCTAATTATCACACACAGTTGGCAGGAGGCTGTCAGATGGTCTATGATACATCCTTACAAAAACAGACCGACTAAGCACAGCCTTTACAGAAAACCCAGGTCAAGTCGGGCGTAGAAAACAGAAAACATCCACCGTAAAGATGAACATGGGGTGAACATAGTGTGATATAGAGATGACACAGAAATGAAGAGAGATTTCCAGTAAATGAAATCTTTAACAGGATGGATCAGGTTGTTTCACAGCAAAATAAAGTACTCATATATTATTCCTAGTCTTCAAGAAAACAACTCCCAACTTCCCCCCCCCTCCCTCTTGTTTTTCTTCCTGTCATCATAGCAACCTCTTTGCCTTTTCAGCATAAGTTGCTTGGGGGGGTTTGCCAGTGATGCTCATCGCCATAGTTACTGGAGCTTTGTTAATGAAATGTGGTGCCCCCGGCATTATGCGAGAGGCGTGACATTTACCTTCAATCACACCAGTCTGCTGGAGTGTGCATTCACTAAATTAGTGATTCTATAAATGAAAAAAAATAAAAAAAAACATACACCTACACTATAGCTGCTGTCAGGGGCTTAAGGTTTATTTCTTTATTTCTATTTCTTCCCCACTGGCTTCCAATACAGTGTCTTCTAGTCTTCCTGGTGTACACATGCTCAACAAAACATCATAAAGTAATAACAATGTAAAAATATCCTATTACACAATAATAGGGTTAGGGTTGACTTACTGTGTCAAAATATGCAATAATTTGCCATAATGTTGGGTTGTATCATCGTGGACAAAGGTACAAATCAGTAAGCAGGATTGCAGGTTGTTGCATCAGTTTAATCAGGTACCTTGATTTTTGGGGTTTTTCATTTTTTTGGTTTAGCCAAAAACAGACCTCTGTTATATTATCCAAGAAAGGGTCCTCAGTTGATTCTCCAGAAAATGTATTGCACTATGATGTGATAGAGGATTTTGCAGTGTCCATATCATCCACTTCTCCTGCTCCATGTTGTACTAGCAGCAATCCTGCCTACTGTTCACTGACCAGCCACAGTTCTTGTTGTCTCCATGTTTTATCTTGGTGATACAACTCAAAGTGTAAGGAGCTATGAGTTGCTTCTACATTAGGATGTGACTGAGGCTAGTGAAGACATTGCAGCTTTGAAACATGTCATTTTGAGTCTTATTTCAAACTGCAGGAAAGAAAGGATATTGGTATCAGTACTTGGAGATGGTGATGCAGTCTCTTTCTATGTCTAGTGATCTCTAATTAGGCAGCTCACTGAGAGAATTGGACATTACTGTTGTGTTGTTGCAAAGTTTATGTACAGTAGGTTACCACATACTTCTCTTTTGTGATATTAATGTTTTGCCCAACCTGTTTACAAAGTGGCAGGGGCAGTATTAGAAACAAATTTCAGTAAAATGTGGCACCACTAACAATATAAACTCTCGATCTCTCACTATACTGTAATACACAGTTTGCTCTTGCCTTTGGTTGTTTCTGCTGCCTGTCTTCTGGGGACTGTAAAAAGGAAAGAGCAGAGGCGAGCAGAACAAATTCCAGGACTGAATAGAGCAAAATGGAAAAAGAACACTGAGGAGATTTGGTGCTCAAAGACAAGCAGTGTGAGCAAAGTGATGAAGAGAAGCAGAAAAAAAAAATCAGTTGGTTCTTCTCACATAGTTTTTCCTCCTAGTGTACACACACGTAGTGGATACTGCTCTCTCACACTCTCTCTGTCTGACAGACATCCATGTGCAGATGCAGTTGGTGATACATGACATTAATAGGTCTGAGGGTGATGGACAGAGAGAATAAAAAAGACAAAAATGAAGAAAATGATTTCTTACATATTAATCTGTTCATGACTGATCTATCAGTTGTGGGAAAGAAAGATTCAGAAATTGTATTCAGAGAGATTAGAGCTGCTGAAACACCAAGAGTGAGACAAAAAATGAGAGAGGATGGTGGGTGGAAGTGTGAGACAGAGGGAGAGGAAAATGTGACATTAATGAAGATAGAGAGACAAAATATCTGACATTTTATCTCATTAATTTCATTTATCACATTGTCAGTCAGGGAGACAGAAAGAGAGACTGACGGGGCAGGGTGGGAAGACAGAGAGCAGAAGACAAAGAAACTGTTAGAAATAATAAATCTGTTCATTAAGCTGCTCAAAGAGGGATAGATTGACAAAGACGAGACATACGAGGGATAAACGAGAGACAGGAGCAGACAGTGAGAGAGGACGGGGAATGTGAGTGGTGGAGAGACCTGGTGCGTAGATGTGAGAGAGAGAGAGAGAGAGAGCGAGAGCTGTGATGAAATAGTCTGGAGGGAATAAGACGTGGGGGAGGAGGGGTGAGGAGGAAGAGGGAAGGCAGTTGGAAAGTAGACTGAAGGGGAAGAGAGGAGGGAGAGAGCGTACTTGCATTTTTCATTTCAGTGAAGCCCATTTAGATTGAATTAAAAACTTAGAGCGAGCGAGGATGGAGAGACGAACAAAGGTGAGGACAGAGAATAATGAAGTGGATAGCGAGACGGACACACGGTGGGGAGGAAAGCTGTGCGGCAGATAATTCTGTTGCTATGGCGATGATTTAGCAGGGTTGTTACATAAGAGCGGCCAGTGGCACCCTTGATTGTGTTTACACACACAGCAAGTGTCCTCGTCAGCCCCTTGCTGCTGCTAGGGTGTGTGTGTGTGTGTGTAAAGTTGTACTGTAACTGTGGGGGTATTCTAACACACCTTCACACCAGAGATGATGTTAAAGTTTCATAACACGGGTTTCATCTTTTGATCTCCAGTTCCTAG